AAATATATATGTCGCACCTGACTAAGTTAAACTAAACAACAACTGCAGCAAAATACCAAAAAAAAAAACAAAGAAAAAAAAAAAAACAACCAAAGTATGGTACCAACAACAAGCTAATATTAGCTACCATTAACATTAACTACCTGCCCTCTTGTTATAAATGTCATACTACTGAATGGTCCACTACAGCCTATTTGTGTCCCAAATAAAACAAAAAAAAATGCATTCCAACAAGTTACTGGTAAGTTCACCAATCTCATTGCACATCACGCAATTAGCTTTCTTCTATTTTGTCAGTGCAGTAAAAGTAAACTCTCCTTCACCCAGTCCCTCACAAGTTTCTCATTCACTCTAAACTTTTACTACACATATTTTTTAACCGGTAGGCTACCACACTACTCGCTGAGCAAAGTGCCCGGAACGTGCCTGGAAAGTGTTGTCGTCAAAGTCTTGAAAAGTCTCATTAACCCCAGGAAAAGTTACTGGATTTGATGCTTGTCGCTTTTTTGAGAAAAAAAAGTCTTTAGAGGGTCTAAAAACTAGAAAGGTACAGCATATACCGTAGTTGTCAGAAGCATAGATCGCCCTCTCATGGCTGCAGATGGTAATGTTAACTCCTTGGTTTGTCTCAGTCAGTACGAACTAACGTTTAACGCAGCAGTAAAAAAAAATGTGTCATGAGGAAAAAGAAAGTCGCAGAACCAGCCAAACTATGAAAAAAAGTGTGACTTATAGTCTGAAAAATACTTGCATGTTAATACTAGTACTGTGAGTTGTAACTGAATATCCAAATAATTGTTATGCAGCACCCTTTTGATTTACTACACATGGATGGGACGCAGTCAGTCTTTTGCAACAATGCTGGCCGTTACCCCACTTCACGGATTCCAGGCCTCCAACAGCTGCATTACACCACGCTTGCTGACTTTCTAATTATCTTATCTCGGAAAATAAGGATGCTGAGCAATTCTTTGCTCTAGCAGTCTAACAACAAGCAGACCACAGGGAGTGTGGTTGGCACTTACTGTCACCAAGGGGGCTGTTGTGTTCGACAGACTAGTACAAGAAAATATGGTTCACTCTCCTTCTTCTGACTCATAAGCACACACACTCTTTTTCACTCTGAATGTTAAGTCAATTCCCAGTTCCTTGTGTGAATTGGTATTTTTGGAAGTCACAATGAATAATGAATATGATACTAATGTCTGTGTGAGGAAACAGCTTTGAGAGAACCCAGCTGTTTCTGTGCACGAAAATTAATTTTGCTATTGCACCAGAATAAAAACAATCATTTTATTCAGTGCTTGTCACAACTCTATTGTTAGTTTATTGCAAATTCCAGAAAGCAATTAATGTTTTGTAATCCTTTATTCATCAAATATGTAACTGCAGTGTTAAGTTTCTGTTCTAATGGTGTCTTCTTGCCAGAGGAGTCATAAAGAATGGAATTGGGGGGAAAAGAGGGATTGAGAGAGGGATAAAGGCAAGATCCTTCCACCTGTAGCACTAAATGTCCTGCTGGACTGTAATCTGCCAGTTGTCTGTCTGTGAGATGCCCAGCTTTGCTGAGGCCAGCCAGGCTCTGAAGCCCCCAGCACCAAACGATGCTGTGGCCCCAGGACATAAGGCACCTGCACAGGGAGATAAAGGCTTCAACTTCTTAGCTAAAACTGACGATTCTTTTGATAAAAACAGACACAAGGTGGTGGGAGCTGTGCAGCAATCTTTGCAGCTCGCTCTCTCTAGTTCCCTCCTCCGTGTCTACTTATCTTGGTAATCTTTGTCCTATATTTTCTGTTTTTTTCCTCCTACAACCCCTCTGTCTGTCTTGATGTCTCTACTTTTATTTCTCTTTGTGCTTCCTTCATCCTATCCTGTGTGAGTTTGGAGTAGACAGGTAAGGCTCTCCACTCTGCGTTTTTTTATTTATTCCATATCTGTAACTGTCAGGAAGAAGATTGCTACTTCAGGAGCTGTCTGTGCTTTGTTGTGCTCATGGAAAGTCAAATAGAGGAGGTTGTGTTAAAAGCATCTTGACCACTTTGCGGGGACACAAACAATGACAGCTGCAGTCTCAGAAAACCCAGACAGTTTAAAATGGCTTTACAAGTAGGGATGGGTATCATTAAGATTTTATCAATACTACTACGCTTATCGGTATTAGTATTATATCGGCCCTCTTACCCCTAATTTACACTGCATGTGGCTCCACTCTGCTTTGCTCCTACCTCCGCTATAAATACGCAATCATTATCATCAATGAGCGTATTTACACTGGCTCCGCACAACGGTGCAGGGTGGCGGTGAGTGGACAGCGATCCGCCAAATTTTGATTCGATCCTAATTTTGCAGGATGCCGGAGCTGCGCTGAAGTCAATCTACAAAGATCACGTTGCACCAACAGATAAAGAAACAAGCACAACATCCGTATTTCCAAAATTATTTTGACAGCGCCTGTTCTAAAGCAGGAGGAAGGAGAACGGAAAAAGTGGAGAACTTATTTCTAGCGACAGATCAGGATGGAAGATGGTTTTTTGGTGTTATTTGTTTTTTTAACATCCTACAGGCATGTTAAAAAAAGTGAAACATGTTTTGAAAACATCTGTAAAACTTGAAAAGATCTGAGATTGCTCTATTCGTCCATATACCTGCAAAATGATGACAAATCCGTGACAGTTGAGGGCAATCCATTTTTTTTTTTTTTCAGTTGAGGACAATCCATAAATTTTGACATGTATGAAATCTTGTAGCTTCACACGTCGTCAGCTACAGAACCAAAGTCCAATTGCTTCATCTTTTTTCTTTTAATTTTCCATACCCTGGATGACTGACTAGTAATGTTGAGCGGTAAAGTTACTCGATCGATACTTTAGTTTTAGCACGTCGCATTGTTCCAAAAATAAAAAAAAGTGAACTGGAACATCTGATCAGATACAGGTTCAGATTTGAACACTGACATAAACAAGCATTTAAGATAATTATTTAATCAGCTCTGAACAACAACTTCAGAATCAACATGCTAACGTGAAGCATCCATGTTTAGCTAATTCTATAAACACCATGCTGAATGTGACTTCACGTCTTTTTCTGCACATGCGGGTCGCATCAGCACTAGAATCAGCACTAGAATTTTGTGCTGTTAGCAGCCCCTCCACTTCTTGCTGAATCTGACAGCTTAGAAGACCAGACTGCAAGAGGCGAGAGAAGAAAAGAAAGCTCCTTTTTTTCCCCTAAATAACGCAGCATGGGCCAGGTCTGCGCTTGTCACGCCACTATTCTGGTACATTTAATGATATTGTAAAGGCTGGAGCATATTGATCCAGTCAAAATTAGTCATGTGGAATCCTGAAAAAAAATACCGGGTTTCGGTACCCATCCTTATTTACAAGCGCATGAGATGTGATGACGTTCATATGAAATTATACTGAAAGAGATGCTAAAACAGGCACATGAAGTCAGGTATCTGCAGTGGTACTTCTTGCTACATTATTGATTGTGACATTTATTTACAATGGTTTTATTAAAACAAACATGTTTGAGGTTGCATTAAAAAAATCATGCAGTACTAAATGATAAGAGAAGTATTGATTACCGAGAAACAGCTCAGACATTTGAGATTTTATCAAATTAGAAGCAATTCAGAAACTGGTGTTTTTCATGACACTTTTGATCCGAAAAACAAATTCAACTACCTCTGATAAACAAAAACATAACAAAATAATAAATAATACGCAGAAAACCAATGAAGTTCTCAGTTAAATGTTTTTTTTTTGTTTGTTTTTCAGATCTAAAAACACCACTTTATTCTGAGCATGTTTGTGGCTCTGGAGATCTAAAAACAAAATGGCTTACAATCTTACATTTACAGTATATTAACCTGGTCACATCCTGGATATGATGTTGTGCCCCAGATATGATGTCACACTAAAAAAGGAAGTGCCCCTAAACTGCTCCACATTCCAAAAATGTAAAACATTTTGATTTTACACTGCTGGAGCAAGGCACATGTTATGACTTGTTGATTCTCTTCCTGTTTAAAGTAAATTATTAGAATCAACCATTAAGTATAAAATAAAAGACTGCATTTAACATGTAGTTAATCAACCACAAAATATCCAACACAGAGACATGGCTTAGTTTGATCCTGTAGCACTGTCTACTCTGAAACTTTTCTATCAGAATGCAAGCACCTGGAAAATAACTATTTAAAGGCAACTGTTTTCATGCATCCTTGTGAATAAATGGTTGGCAATATGAAATAATAAAAACGGCTCTAAAGCTGTGAAAACAGTAATGCCAATCTCAAGCTACGTTATGCACAACAGCTGCAAATGAACACCAAAGACTCATATCTGAGAGAACAAAGAGGTTGAGATAAACTGCATCATATGTTGCACTGAGCTATATAGTAGACAGCAGTTCATCTTTCCTGTTTACGGTGTTGTGACCATTGTCTCTTTCCATTAGCCTTCGACCAGCACGCTATGGTTGGTGCAGGCAGCGGGCTAGCAGACGCACACAGCTCAGGGTGGCAGATGCCTGGCGTTTCCGCTGATGCCCTCCATCAACTGATGACAGATGTCAGGGCTCCTCTTGGGTGGCAACACTTCATCACCCTACCCCTGTTCTCTGCCCCGCTGCATACACCAGCCTGCTTTGGCAGACACCGCACCCAGCCTCACCGCACCAGCCCTCCTGCACCTATTCCTTCACACATGCACGTCTCTGCATCCATCAGTCAAGCATTATTACATCAGACAAACCATCACACTCACAACCAAAGGATCACATGCTAATGCACCCAGATGCATCCAACAGGGAAATCTGCAGTTTCACTCTGTTTGTTAGCGAATGTGTGTGTTGAGTTCTGGCCAAATACTAAACCCTTCTCAAAGTTTGAGAAAGTTTTTCGCAGGATCCTTCCAAATATCAAAATTAAAAAAACAGAATTAATGTACAGTGTACAAAAATAAGGAGTGCCAATATCGCAACCTGCTTACCATTTTGGTCTGCTGGTAGATTTGACTACAGGAGACATCCCATCTCTGTACAGGCTCTTGGTCTTTGAGAAGTTGACCACGTTGAAAATGACCCGCTGAAAGACAAACATTTCATATTTAATACGGATTTCAAACCAATAGGGTCACAGTGGCACTATACACGGCTGTGTAGGCACAAGGAGGACAACAAAAATCGGTAGAAATTGTTTGTAAAGGTGGTAAGCATGAATTCAAATAATGTGTAAGAGATACCTTCAGTATCATCTCTTACAATACTGTATATCTAAACAATATTATTACTATAAATCAATTTGTTTGGATGATGAAAGTGCTTCTCCATAGCACAAAGTCTGTCATGATACAGTTTTGATTTTCTTCAATTCACAAATCTGCGATCTACGTATATGGTGTCATACCATATGCCCATCTAACTGTATCATTATGATTGGGTTAGATGGGCATGGCAAATGGATCGATGTTTTCATTTTGACTCGAAGTAATTGAACCGTTAAGCATTTAATCAATACATTGATGTGGATCGATGCATTGTAACACCTCTATTTAGAACTGCAACTATATCATGCCATTTTTAGTGAAGAGAAGAAAATGGTTAAACCTAAAAGTTCACAAATTTGTTTCCACAAAAATGCACAAGAACTTATTTCTTATAAAACCTTGATCTATAAACATGCACTTTTTGCTTTCAGCTGGTTTTTACTCATGTCATATGTTTTTAGCTGAGCAACATGTCAATAACTTCTAAAGGTTCTGGAGGTAAGTTGTCACTGCCATGACAAATGCAACCACTGGCGCACAAAATCTTGACTAATAAAGATTACACAGAAATATGGCAACTTTAATGTCCTGCAGATTTATCCATGTTGTGGTAACAAAGTTCCCGATAAAAGGCAGCAGCTCAGAGGAGTGCAAGCCTTTAATCTGAGAGGGCATTACAGTTCTCCCCATAGGGATGTGGCCTGGACAGAAAACATTAAGGCTTGCCTGGAGCACAGAGGACAAGCTATGGTGCCTGGCTACCCACCTCCTCTGGTCTAAAGGTTTTGTATGGGTGGAATTTTCTGAAACAGATCTTCTCTACTGCCTTCCTTCCACTTCCACTATGATAGGATAAGGATGAGTGTGGAAATGTTGGGAGAATAATTAAGCAATTTATAGTTTTTATTTCAAAAAACGCCAAAGAAATTGCAATGGTAATACTGCGTTGGTATAAATGAATCTTACTGATGCGGCATATCAAATTACAAACTAAGTCCAGGTGGTGAAAGTTAACTGGGTGCCACTGAAATCCTATTACAGAATCCCCACCTTACTCTCCCTCCTTCTTCTTTCTCCTCCCCCTCATCCATTTCTGCGTTTTTTTCTCTCCTGCCTGGCTTCAGAGGAATGGGGATTGCGGATTGTGGCAGGCTGATTCAGTCTTAGGTAAAATGACATCTAACTGATGTTGAGACTGGCAGCAGGCTCCTGTAGCAGGGAGATAAGACCATTGCTGCTGGCATTTCAATTACACTTTACTGCCCCGCACATCTGTTGCGAGAGCTACTTTTCAGCCTTTTCCCCCCTCAGGCAAATACAGCCTCGCTCTAACTCCACTGGCTTTCTTTGACTGCACAGCCTCTCTCCTCATTCGCTATCCACAACAAATTCAGATTGTCTTCTTCCTTAGATTCACTCTGCCCACTGTTTGTAATCTATTTGTTTGCCCTGTTTAACTCAGAGGGAGCTAAGTCCTGACAGATGACAGAGGCATAAGCAGAAAGGAACAGGACTGAATCACATGCACAATGATACAAAAAACTAGGCGAGAACACAGTCAAGTAGAGGAAACAGGGGTTTAGCAATGAATAAAGAAACAGTGGCAGAAATAGGGACAGACATTCAAGAAAATAATTGCCAAATAAAGATAAATGAGAATGGGGGGACGTTGCATTAGTTAGGAGCATGAAGTAAATGGTATTCCTCCGTCTAAGGACAAATGTTGAGGACAAAAGCAAGTGGACTGGTAAGTAGGAAGGGAATAACAAGACACACAGACGTCTCCCTTGGTGGCGCTTTGATTTAATTGAAGCTAAACAGATTAAAAAGAATAACAGGAACTTTGAGAGGCTTAAAAGCAAGGTAGGGGAGCCCTGGGCCACTTACAAGCCAACATTACTCTTCACTGGGTGCATCAGACATGACTGAGGTCTATTTATATTCATCCTTTAACGGTTTTTCTTGTTAAATCTAACCTATAAGGTGTTTTTTGCAGCTTTTCGACACAAAAACAGGGTCAACACTTTTAATAAATGTAGTACCACCAGGACATCAAGCTATATATTTTTATATGCTGTAAGTTTAAAGAAGCATTTAGAAAGCAACCCTGTTTAAAAATGTGAATTTATAAACATTTGTTTTCCCAAGATTAAGCAGAAAGTATTTCTCCATCTCCCAACATGAACTTGACCCCAGATTTACACTACATGTGTCTCCGCTCCTTACGCTACATGTGCCTCCGCTCCGCTGCGCTGCGGTGCGCAGTTCGCAGCTGTTCGTTTGTGCCCCAATTTATACAGCGTCCACTGCGCTCAGCTCCGGTCCAGTCTGACACACAGAGGAGGGAGGGTGTCGGGAGGCTGTGCGGGAAAGAGATCGCGCGATAAATTCAGTGATAAATGTGGAAGTCACAGCAAAAAATAATTAATTCTGTGAAAGACGAACTCCAAACACAGCTGAAAACATTGATATAAAGGCTTTTGATACTGTATATACTGAATGTTGAAACTGCATCGCTGTCGTCTTTCTGAAACTTCTGATTTCAAAATAAAATCCACGTGTATCGTGTGTGTACACATACGCTTCATGCTACGTTTCCATCTACTTTCCAAACAGAACGATACATTCTGACAGCATTTATGTAGAAATATATCCATATATTGATCAATAAAGCTGGGATTTCGACCTTATTCCGGCAAATTATCCCGCCTAATGGTGTCTTATTTCGAAAATACGGATCTTGTGCTCGTTTCTCTTCCTGTTGGTGGAACATAATCTTTAAAAATTGACTCCGGCGCAGCTCCAGCGTCCAGCAATAATAGGATCTGTTCTAATTTTGCCGGATCGTCGTCCGCTCACCGCCACCCTGCACAGCCAGTGTAAACACTCTCATTGATTATAATGGGTGCGTATTTGCCAGTGGTGTGCTGTCAGGGCCAGCAAAGCCTTCTCTGCTGGCCTAAACACAATCAGAATCACTAAGTTATAGAATATTTTATATTTATTATAATAGTTAATAGTATTACTATAAGGATATTATTGTTTTTTAAATATCTGTTCTTTTCGTTTCATAGTTTTTCTCCTGGCTGCGCAGCTTCCAACAGCTTGCATTTATTTAGAGCTTTTATCCAATCATATTTCGATCTTCATCTGTTGCAAGGGTCCAGAAATCTGCCTCAGGCCTTCAGAACAAGTAGTGAAGGCACCTGGAGGGTGAAACACATGGCAGTGATACTGTTGCTTTGACCAATCAGGTGCTGAGGTGAAGACACCAGGGCCTTCGAGCTGGCCTCGGACAGCGTCAACTTTTCTCATCGTTTGATTGGATGATCAGAAAGCAGGAGTCAGAACCGGGAAACTAGATTTCTGTGCATCTTACAAGCTAAATGCTGAGCAGACATTCTCAGTGTTACAGGAAATTAAAACTTATAACAAAAATACAGAACAGAACAGACTGGACTTTCAGTGTTAGCTTCATGGTGGTGATAGAAAAGGACTTATTGTTGAAATGGAAACGAAAGGACCTGTATGACAGAGGAGCGGGATTTTTCTTGAGGAATAAAAGGAGAATGGAGTTTTTGAATGGACAATAAAAAGTTTCGGTGAGTAAAAAATATGTTATTTAAATGTTTTATTTGGTTATCAGCTTATTATATAACCATATTGAAAACTTGTTAACTGTGTCGCTTCAGTGATGACTTTCATTCCGGCTTCATGTCTGTGGTGCAGAAACACCTGTCTGTGTGTCACAGACACACCTGTCTATGGGGATGCTGAGACACCTGTATGAGGTGCAGCAGCATATTGTTCTGCGTTTCTGTGTAATACTGGTGGTTTTTGTAGTCGTGGCTTTGTGTGAAGTTGTACAGATTGTCTGTAAATTAGACAGGTTTCTCCRGTTTTGCATACAGACCTGTAGGACTGTCTTATAGATTTTTTTAAAATAAACTGATTATGTTCAGAGCTGGCAGCCTCTCCCTCCCTGCTCTCTGCTGCGGACTCCGCAGTTAGCAGCGTTACCCCCCCTGCATCTCCGCGTCCAGCAGGTCTGTTCTCTCCAAATTGAAGGCCTAGGTGTAAAATGTACGGCTCGTCACTGGTATTTGCTGCGGAGGTCGGACCGGAGCGGTGTTATGAAGTTAGGTTTAAGCAAGCTGAAAGGATCAGTAAAGTTGTAACATTTGTTTCTCCATCTGTTTCATACACAAAGACTACAACTTGGACTTTTTACAAAAATCTATTTTTGACAAAGAGCAAATTTAGTTACCCAGACTCTCCCAAACATGTTCTTCATGTCCTGGTTTGACAAATACAATTTTGTGAAAAGTAATAATTTACTATATTATGTAAAAAAACAAAATTTCACTTAGTGGTCATTATATCAACATGCAAATATAGATAAGAGTCAACAATTCCCTTACAGTATGCAATGTAATCAGATTTACATTTTATGAAATTATGAGGAAATTAGCTTTTTTATATAATGCTATACTGCACGGTAGACTTTAATAAACAGATAAAATAACATTTAGAAATTGCAAGTGAAAAAAAAGAAATTGCAAGTGATCAAATACATTATATTTCTAAAAGTAAGTATTTCACAATTTGTGAACATTTGAGAAGTGTCATCTCCATGTTTTGTGCAAGATGCATCTAACATTTTTTACTACCATTCTTACCCAATGTTGTTAAGCTACAACAAAGACTTAAAGCTGCAGTAGGGAGTTCTGAGAAAACCGTGGACTTAGGCTGAAAGTTTGAACAAAACACAGTACGGGTCCCTCCTACTTGCTATCCGCTGCACTACAGTCCTCCCTCC